TTATAAGCAGAACAATGTAGAGATGGTGATTATGCGGATGGGATTTTTCAGCTTTTCAAACAAGACATGGCAAAAGTACCACAATTCTTTCTATACAAAACTTTTGTCTGTGAACGAGCATTTCAGAATATAGCTCAATAACCCTTCCCCATGGATGTGTGTCTTCCATTGTTGATTCAAAGTTTTACCCAGAACCGGACGTAGCAGTAGCCGGAAGTATAAAATAATAAAAATAGAAGCGCTTTTCGAAACACCTAAGGACACTGCACAAACGTGGTTAAAAACAGAAAAAATATTAAAAACAGAAAACAACAGAAGTGGACGGAGGTGTTGGAGTGACTGGTCTAGTGACTGGTCATGTGACTGGCCATGTGACTGGCCATGTGACTGGTCATGTGACTGGTCATGTGACTGGTCTAGTGACTGGTCTAGTGACTGGTCATGTGACTGGCCATGTGACTGGTCATGTGACTGGTCATGTGACTGGTCTAGTAGTCACTGGTCTAGTAGCCATGTGACTGGCCATGTGACTGGTCATGTGACTGGTCTAGTGACTGGTCATGTGACTGGTCTAGTGACTGGTCATGTGACTGGTCATGTGACTGGCCATGTGACTGGTCATGTTGGGATATAAAAGTGTGAAAGGTGAGTTTTGAGTCTGGATTTGAACTGGGGAAGAGAGTCGGTGTTGCCGAGGTCAGAGGGGAGTGAGGTCCAGAGCTGGGAAGAAGAACAGCTGAATGCTATACCCCCCATGGTGACGAGGAGGAGGGAGGGGGCAGAGAGGCTGTGGTGATGTGGAGGAGGTCAAGCAGGGGGTGTGGAACCAGGTTTTATGGGAAGCCAGTGTTGGAGGTTCGGGGTGATGTGGTGAATGGGGGTCTCCTGTTGGTGATGTGGCCAGTGGAGTTTTGGACCAAACAGAAGGGAATTGCAGTGGTCAATTTGAATAACAAGTCTGCATACAGTATATTCAAAGAGCCAAAGTAATTTCCTAGTTTTGTGTTACTGATTCTGATTCATGACACTTTTCTTGAGATTTGTATTTCATTTTTTACCCCAGTCCTTTTTTAATCTTTACTATGCCGCATCAAACCATCAAACTCATGGACATGTGAAAGATGTATCTTTTTAGATAAAGTAAAATCAAACATTCTGGATGATCCTTGAGCAGTTTGAATGGAACTCCACACTCTTAAAAATAGTCAAAACATCTTTAGAAAGTGAATGAAGATTTTACAAGTTCTGTCTGGAGATTTTTTCTTTAGTACAGGTCCCTAAATCTCATTTCCAGTGACATTTGCATTTTGAGGAATTGTTAAAACACGAATTGATCCAAACCCTTGACACCAGCTATAGCAGAATTTATATTTACTCATGGAACATTCAGGCAACTTTGGAGTTTTATATTTGGCAAAGTCATCAGAGGCCTAACTACAGGTCCTCAGCCTCATAAAGACGGAGTTTTTGGAGGAGTTTTAGAGAAAAAAGGTTGCTGTGCTATGGCTTTGAATTTTAGGTCTCAATCCTCTTCCAAACTTCTTTAATGTACAACTGATATAATTAATATTTGAAATATTAGGATTCACGTGGCTGCCAGTGCAGAGGGGGAGGAGTCAGCGTAGAGGGGGAGGAGTCAGTGTAGAGGGGGAGGAGTCAGCGTGGCAGGCATAGCGTCTCTTTTAGTCTTCCAGTCTGAACTTACGCTTACCCAATTTTTTTTCTGAGTTCATAAAAATGCGTATTACGACAAACAAGTTGTATTATAATCCGTAATTTAATGTAAAACTTGAGCTCATTGATTCAGCGGTGTATGAATTCAGTAAAAAGTGCTGAGTAGAGACTTAGCGTGACGCCCGCTCTCCTCCAATCACAGAACGAGGCTGCGTCCTCTAGCCTCTACAGCGCTGCTAAACACAGTAGCATGTTAGCATAAGTGGCTATAACTCCTCTGGCTGTAACTGCAGACACAGCAAAACAGCCCAAACCACACAACAGTGAGGAAGAGAAGAGGAACTAAAGCCACAACATGATCAAAGAAGAAACCAAGCCCCGAACAGAGCTAGCTTACATCGTATCCTCTGGAGAGACTGGTCTATGGGAGAGACCTGCGGGACCGCCTCGGACTATCTACGCTCGGACTAGCTACGCTCGGACTATCTACACTCGGACTATCTACACTCGGACTATCTACGCTCGGACTATCTACGCTCGGACTATCTACGCTCGGACTATTTGGGCGGCACGGTGGCTGAGTGGATAGCACTCTCGCCTCTCAGCAAGAAGGTCCTGGGTTCGAATCCTGGTTGGACCAGGGCCTTTCTGAGTGGAGTTTGCATGTTCTCCCCGTGTCTGCGTAGGTTTCCTCCGGGTGCTCCGGTTTCTCCTACCACTAAAAATATGTACAATAGGTCTGGCATGTGCCTCCTGTACTGGCGACCCCCACTCCCAAAAATAACAATTGTAAACCGCTTTGAGACTCTGATGTGCAGTGAAAAGGCGGTATATAAATAAAGATTACTTACTTACTTTATGCTCTGACTATTTATGTTCGGACTATCTACGCTCGGACTATCTACGCTCGAACTATCTATGCTCGAACTATCTATGCTCGGACTATCTACGCTCGAACTATCTACGCTCGAACTATCTACGCTCCGACTATCTACGCTCGGACTATCTACGCTCGAACTATCTACGCTTGGACTACATTTGGACGTGAAACTAGCGGTAATCTTTCAGTTATATATTTTGTTAGCAGTGGGTTGCTTTTGTACCATTTCATCAGTGATTGTTGTACAGCTTAAAAGAAGTTGTGCTAATGCTAATGTTAGCATACGTATCAAATCGCAAAAAAACTAGATGGCTCCGTGGGAGGAGAGCGTAGGGGACATGAGAAGCCTGGGAGAGAATTGGGGGCGGGGCTAAACATTCAGACCTTGCAGAAACAGGTATAGCTCCTTTAAGCTCCATAACCACTAACATTTGATAAAAAACCCCTGCGACCCCCTGTGACTTAATCAGGAGTTATTTGGTTAATGATTAATATCCGTTCGCTCCGTAATAAAGCCATAAACTCAAGCTGAACTAAACACTTTACTAATTGCATCTATTCTACAAGGACAGAGTGCGCCGGGAGTTGAGTCAGTCTTTTATTCAATTTACCAGTTGCATTTCTGCGCCGCGATCCCTCCTGATATTTCCGCATTAACCCGAGCGTAGCCGAGCGTGAACAAGTCTGCATGTAACGCCAAATCACAGACTCCCCTGCACTTATCACGCCACGCCGCCGCCTCCATAACACTGCAGAGTTTAAGCTACTGCTGCTGTGTCAGGCTTTCATTTGGATTTGCTTATTCCCTGGATTAATTGGTGTCACGCAAGACTGAGAACGCTTTCCTGAGACGGCTGAGGGTTAAGTGAGAAGAAACACAAAACCAACATTAGTGTCATAAATGATTGAAGTGTGAATCACAGACAACAAAAGGCTCGAGGCGCAGAGGTCCCCGAAGGAAAAGGAGAGAAATGTAAAAAGCTTTGGGTTGAAAGTTCATGAAGTCTCACTCGCAAACGTTGAAATCGAGAATATTCAGGAATAAGTAGTAACACTGGGAAAAAGTGAAAACTAAAAACTATGGGGCGACAGTAGCTCAGTTGGTCGAGCATTGGTCTTTGAGCCTGGAGGTTGTGGGTTCGAGCCCACCATGGGACCATCTCCAACTGCTCCCACTGATGTCTGCTGTCGTTGTGTCCTTGAGCAAGACACTTAACCCCATGTTGCCTGAAGCCATCTTCCAGTGGAAAATAGCAATACTATCCCCAAATGACTGGATTCTAGTTTACAAACACATATTTCAAGTATTATTTACTGTTTTCTTAAAGTATAGAATCACAAACTGATTTCATCTAAACAGGAAAAGAAAAAAAAAAAACTCACCGCTCGACTTTTTCCTCTAATAATATTATGAAGTTTTATAATAATCTTTTGACTAACTACTTTCAAGCAAAAAAAAAAAACATTAAAAGCATAATTTTTTTTATCTTTGGAAAATAAATCTTACCAAGATTATACTTTTTCAGTGTAGTAAGTAAGTAAATATTTATATATTCATGGCCTCTGCACTAACACGTGTGGTACAAGATCAAACAAGAGGCAGAAAGTAAACCAAAGATAGAAAATGGAAAAACTTAAATTGTGGTAAGATTTATTTGACTAAAAATAACAAATTATGCTTATTTTTTATGTCAAGTTTTTGTTGCTTGAATGTAGTTTGTCATAAGATTATTTTACTAGTTTTAAGATACTTCATAATCTTATTAGAGAAAAAAAGTCTGAGCAGTGAGTTTTTAAGCTTGTTTTTAGCACCAAAATATATTAGTGACATGTTAGTCCCATATGAACCAGCCCGGACTCTGAGGAGCACAGGGACTGGCTTCCTGCTGGGACTCTGAGGAGCACAGGGACTGGCTTCCTGCTGGGACTCTGAGGAGCACAGGGACTGGACTCCTGCTGGGACTCTGAGGAGCACAGGGACTGGACTCCTGCTGGGACTCTGAGGAGCACAGGGACAGTGCTGGGACTATTTTCTCGTTTTATTGCAGATAATTTTGATAATTTAAAGCCGTATTTTACTTATTTTCATATATTTTGTTCTCATCTTTTCAAGGGATTTCTTCCACAGTACAATTTCATAAAAAATAACATTCATTTTTGGTAGTTTCTCATTTTAAATCATAAAAATCCATGCTCCACTTCCCTGAGCTCTTTGCTCTCGACACATTTCACCAACCCCCGCAGTTTGTTCCTTGCATAAATGTCATTTTAATTTAAAGGGTCTCATATGCATATTTAAAAGCACACATCTGCTGCCATATTCTTTCACAACCCTCGCTGCTAATCAGTGCAAAACTAAGACCATGGCACGCACCATACTTACATTTGGTTCTTCACCGTGGGCAGACATCGCATGTGTTTTCCAAAATGTCACATGGTCCGGCTTTCAACCCTTCATCCTCTGCTTTTTCATTCCCATTCTGTTTTCTGAAAAGGCAAAAATGTGACCAAAACCGTATTACTCACTGAATAAACTGAGCTGTAAAAGACACGGCCATACTGTGAGGTCGCGGGTACAATATGCTGAACATGTGGGTGATGTCGTTAACACCATAAAGCACGGGTTTATGGTTGCCGGCGGGGAGCTCCGAGGTGATGTCATGGGAGGAAGTGAAAAGGTTAAGAGGGTCTGTTCCCTTCCGTAAGTTCTTATGACACATGGAACTGACTGTACGTATGAAATCCCGCCCACGTTCCCATCTGCGGTGAGAAGACGGAGAACAGCCCGGTCTGACGTGACTAACCCATGGTGGGAACTGAAAATGCAGGAATTCTAATGGGCCTGAATATAGTTTTGAGCTGTTTCTGGGAATAGAAACACAAACAAGTGGATCACAGCAAACCATTCGATATTGTTAGCCTGCCCTAGATCAGGTGTCGCCAACCTTTATCACACAGAGAGATACTTTCCCGGGACGGTAGAGGCAGAGAGCTTTCACACTATGTTGGTGTGAAAAAGCCTGATATTGATACAGACATTATTCATCATCGCATTTTTATTACTAGTGACAAAGTAAGTGCATTTACAATAATAATGATAATAATACAGGTCAGAGTGGGTGGGGTCAGTGCAGAGGGGGAGGAGTCAGAACAGAGGAGGAGGAGTTAGTGCAGAGGGGGAGGAGTCAGCGTGGCAGGCATAGCGTCTCTTTTAGTCTTCCAGTCTGAAGTTACGCTTAAGCTTCATAACCACTAACATTTCATAATTCCTCTGTGACTTAATCAGAAGTTATTTGGTTAATGATTAATATCCATTCGCTTCGTGATAAAGGCATAAACTCAAGCTGAGTCAAGTAAGTATAGTTACAATAATAAATAATACAATCTGAAATATTAAGTATTTTATTTGATTTCTAGTCCTAGATATACCGTTTCTTATCAAACCGTCTTTGTGAAATGTATGTTACTGTCCTCTGTTGTTTAGCACTAATAGCCCTAGCGCTGGTGTGAGTTCAGTGGGAGGTGGTTCATGGCTCAAACCCACGAGGGTTTAAATACCAAAGCTCTACCAACTGAGAACAGAAGATGAAACTGTGTTGTGCCACACACTGGGCACAGATATCGACTAAACTCATCTCTAACCCTAACCCAGTGTGGCTGCCATCTGAATCAGACTAAACACTACAATTTCATGAATGTGTCTTCATGAAGATGTTGGTTGCAGGTTTATTCTGAACATAAACTAAATGCATCCCGCCGGGAACAACAAGTCCCTCTTCTCACTTTGAGTTTAGCTTTTAACCTAGTACAAAATAAAGCCGATGCGCTCTCATAAATAATGCAGGAAGTGTAAAGCAGATGCATTACATGCGGCCGCATTGTTCGGACTCTCCATTTAATGAATAGGCTTCGCTAAGAGCTATTACCTGAAAGCGAAGCCGCCCGAACGTCTTCTCCAGCTCCCTGCTTTAGTGGACTGGGACTGTGCAGAAACCCAAGCCCCCGTCAGACAGTCTTATGTTCGGGCTCGCTAAATTGTGCCGGAATTGCCCCCCTGGGAGACATGAACGTGACGATAGCATGAGAGCTATAACTACTCCTCCAAGACACTATTGTGCGCCGCCTTGGCCTTTTGCTTTGAATAAGGAATTAATTATTCATCCTCCATTGGAGATAAAGAGCGTGGAGAGTGACGGAGGGCTGTTTTTGTACACAATGGACGTTGGAAGGCTTTCAGGTGTCGCCGATGCCAAAATGAAGACATCAAGAATAGATTCGGTGAGCGCAGCCTCCTTCCCCTGATTGTCCTCATATTACTGTCTGAGAAAATCAAAGGCAGGCACGGAAATTAAAAACGCTGTCATTTAGGGACATCAGCGGCCTCTTTCTCTCTCTTGTAACAATAATCAATGTCATCTGAGTCCCTTGTCACCTGTTGGCCGTTTGCCACATGATTCATCTGAGCGCCGCGGTTGGTGCCATGGGCTGTTTTGACTGTTTCTGCGACGGCACCACAGTCACTCATCCAGAGGTCAGACCAGGAGCATTCATCTTTCAAAGTCCTGACAACAAAACACATCTTCCTCCAGTGCCAGATAAGCGTTCACGTAAGAGCCGCTATCGGGGCCTATAATCAGGCCCAGATCTCCACCGCGGCCGGGTAAGCATACATAAGAGGCCGTCGAAGTGTGAGGAGAAGAAGAAAATGCGACGATTGGATCATAGTTATGCAACTTGTACTTTATATGTGGATTTGAGGCTGACAATTTATTTAGTTTGTGGTTCGACTGTGGTTTGGTGACATCACAGTCAAAGAAAAGGAAGTGTTCTGCTCTGAATGAGGGCTGTAAGACCAGAGAGAGAGATCGTAGAGACCAGAGAGAGACACCAGAGAGAGACCAGAGAGAGAGATCAGAGCGAGAGAGAGAGACACCAGAGAGAGAGACCAGAGAGAGACACCAGAGAGAGAGACCAGAGAGACACCAGAGAGAGAGACCAGAGAGAGTCATCAGAGCGAGAGAGAGACCAGAGAGGGATCAGAAAGAGAGATCGTAGAGACCAGAGAGAGACACCAGAGAGAGAGACCAGAGAGAGACACCAGAGAGACACCAGAGAGAGACACCAGAGAGAGAGACCAGAGAGACACCAGAGAGAGAGACCAGAGAGAGTCATCAGAGCGAGAGAGAGACCAGAGAGGGATCAGAGAGAGAGAGGGATCAGAGAGAGAGATCGTAGAGACCAGAGAGAGACACCAGAGAGAGAGACCAGAGAGAGACACCAGAGAGACACCAGAGAGAGAGACCAGAGAGAGACACCAGAGAGATAGACCAGAGAGAGCCCAGAGAGAGTCATCAGAGCGAGAGAGAGACCAGAGAGGGATCAGAGAGAGAGAGGGATCAGAGAGAGAGAGAGACCAGAGAGAGAGAGAGACCAGAGAGAGAGAGACCAGAGAGGGATCAGAGAGAGAGAGAAACCAGAGAGAGAGAGAGAGATCAGAGAGAACAGAGCGAGACCAAAGAGAGAAACCAGAGAAAGACCAGAGAGAGACCAAAAAGAGACCAGAGAGAGAGACCAGAGAGAAAGACCAGAGAAAGACCAGAGAAAGACCAGAGAGAGACCAGAGAGAGACCAGAGAGAGACCAGAGAGAGACCAGAGAGAGACCAGAGAGAGAAAGACCAGAGAAAGATCAGAGAGAGAGACCAGAGAGAGAGACCAGAGAGAGAGACCAGAGAGAGAGACCAGAGAGAGAGACCAGAGAGAGAGACCAGAGAGAGAGACCAGAGAGAGAGACCAGAGAGAGACCATAGAGAGAGACCAGAGCGAGAGACACCAGAGAGAGAGACCAGAGAGAGAGATCGTAGAGACCAGAGAGAGACACCAGAGAGAGAGACCAGAGAGAGAGATCGTAGAGACCAGAGAGAGACACCAGAGAAAGATCAGAGCGAGAGAGAGAGAACAGAGAGAGACACCAGAGAGAGAGACCAGAGAGAGACCAGAGAGAGACCAGAGAGAGTCATCAGAGCGAGAGAGAGAGACCAGAGAGAGAGACCAGAGAGAGACACCAGAGAGAGAGACCAGAGAGAGACCAGAGAGAGTCATCAGAGCGAGAGAGAGACACCAGAGAGAGACACCAGAGAGAGAGACCAGAGAGAGAGATCCTAGAGACCAGAGAGAGACACCAGAGAAAGATCAGAGCGAGAGAGAGAGACCAGAGAGAGACACCAGAGAGAGAGACCAGAGAGAGACATCAGAGCGAGAGAGAGACCAGAGAGGGATCAGAGAGAGAGAGAGACCAGAGAGAGAGAGAGACCAGAGAGAGAGAGAGAAACCAGAGAGGGACATCAGAGAGAAAGAGATCAGAGAGAACAGAGAGAGAGACCAAAGAGAGAAACCAGAGAGAGACCAGAAAGAGAGACCAGAGAGAGAGACCAGAGAGAGAGACCAGAGAGAGAGACCAGAGAGAGACCAGAAAGAGAGACCAGAGAGAGACTCGGTCTGTCGCGTCGGGAATGGTCAGGATCATAAGACTTATATCTACTTCTTTGATTGTTTAAAATACTGAAACTGTACATGTCATTAATATATTATAATTCATTTGTCTGTTGCTTTGTACTTGGTGGTGGTTAGCCCTCTCGCTTCTCAGAAAGACGGTCCTGGGTTTGAATCCCGGTTGGAACAGGGCCCCGTGTCTGCGTAGGTTTCTTCCGGGTGCTTCGGTTTCCCCGGTGTTTGGTCGCAGGCTTTGATGGACCTGTGTGTTTGACGTCTCGCTTTCGTTATCACCGTGTGGAGGGAACGGAAAACAATATCCGATTCCTGAACAGAGACCTAGGCCTGTGAAATAAAAATAAACATTAATTACATACAACTAATCGCTGCAGTCAAAGAAATTGGCTCAAAATGCAGGCAAAAAGACTTATTTTTATTATTCCGTATTATTTGATTGTTATTCCGCACTGTGCGTTGTGAGTTTGCTGCAGAGTTGTCTCGGGGATCTCGCCTCAAAAACTCTAATAAAAATCTCTGTAACATCCCGCTGTGATTGTGGGAGGACCGAGGCTGGGCTGTGGAGGGTGCGTGCTCGTGTGTGAGTGAGTGAAGCCGGTGATGGGACGTCTCGGAGCGCACAGTGAGATAGGACTATAAACGGAGAGAGGACTATAAATACAAACCTGCTGCTGGTGCGGTGGGCGACCTCCAGCCAGCTTGGAGTCGTTCCCATCACCAAAAGCGACATTAATCTAATATATCGGCCTATTACGACCTCTCCTTTATGTGCGCCTGCTGAGGGAGCCCCTGTGGTGTCTCAGCGGGACCACCGACGCACAATTGATCGGGGGAATCGTTCTATTTCTGCACACAAACGCTCTGTCATCATGGTGACTCTTTGTTGTCTCCCAGCAACTTTCTTTGTCTCCTGTTTTTTGAACTATCTGTATTCTTTCATCCACCTATTTGCCTGTTTTATCTTTTGGCTGCCTCTGCTGTCTCCTCAGGCTCACCAAGCACACACAGACGACACACAGACACACACACACACAGACAACACACAGACAACACACAAACACACACACGCACAGACAAACACATGCACTCACACAAAATCAATAATATCATTCTAATTCAAACTGATTTCAAAAGGCACTTCAGTCGCTGCTCAGGCCTACAGCAACTCTCTCTGGTCTCTCTCTGGTCTCTCTGTTGTCTCTCGCTGGTCTCTCTCTGGCCTCTCTTTGGTCTCTCTCTTTGGTCTCTTTCTAGTCTCATGGCCTCTCTCTGGATTCGCTCTGGTCTCTGATCTCTCTCAGGGCTCTCTCTTCGCTCTCTCTTGGCTCTCTCTGGTCTCTTTCTGGTCTCATGATCTCTCTTTCTGGTCTTAGTCTGGTCTCTCTCTCTCTAGTCTCTCTCTGGTCTCTCTCTCTCTGGTCTCTCTCTGGTCTCTCTCTGGTCTCTCTTTGGTCTCTCTCTGGTCTCTCTCTGGTCTCTCTCTCTCTTTCACACACACACACACACACACACACACACACGCACACGCACACGCACACAAAATCAATAATATAATTCTTATTCAAACTGATTTCAAAAGGCACAGTGCTACTTCTCTCGTATCATCGTAAGCCTGTGTTTTGTGTCATTTATATTTTGTGGCCTTCAGTCGCAGCTCGGGCCGACAGGCTCTGAGCGCGGGGCTTAGACGGTTGCTTTGGTTGAAAAATGGATTTGGAGATGAAAGCATAATCAATCGCCACTGCCCTGTCTTCATTTCTCGACACTGATCATGTGTTTTTTTGCTCTATTTTTCACCCAAACTCTTCTGATGCTTCTAGGGATCTCCGACATGTGGCCCAGGAGCTAACAGTAGCTCGCCGCATTCTTCCAGGTAGCTCCCCATGGATTAAAAAATGTAACACATGATCCAGAACGATTCCTTTTTAATTATATATCTATTTTAACTATACATCTTTATGATGGTGCCCCAGAGTGCTGTTCTTTATCGCTTATGGCAACTATGGTATTTGACAAATATTTATTTCATTTGTGATATTTCATTTGTTATCTTCTGCCGGAGGGAAGAAGCTGGAACATGGATTTTCCAGGGGCCAGAAGAGTCATTCATTATTCTGAGCTCAGTTTAAAAGTCTGGATTCATAAAGAACCTGGTATTATGGTCTATCTCTAGTCTCACAGCCTCTTTCTGGTCTCTCTCTGGTCTCCTGGTCTCTTTCTGGTCTCTCTCTGGTCTCTCTCTCTGGTCTCTCTTCGATCTCTCTCAGGTCTCTCTCCGGTCCCTCTCTGGTCTCTCTTTTTTTTTTTTTTTTTTATTTATTTATTTATTAAAGGGACAGTGCATATTAAAATACATTATGCATGTAAATAAGCCAGAATTAGCCAAAAGGCTATTTTTCATCTGTAGTCCCTGGACAGTTGTTAAGTGTCCTCCTGAAGGGAATAAAATTAAACATATCACAAACAGATAAAACATGACACAGTAAAATATATACAAGCAATACCCTCAATAACACAAATCAAACATATAGACATGAACACACAACTGTTACACACTCAACAAAAAATGAAGACAAGTCAGACTCACAGACAAAGAACAAGAGGCCAACAGGGGGCAGAGGTGAGGAGTCAGTGCTGACAGCTTTGATTATGAATGAGCCATTTTTTTACCTGTATTTTGAATGTTTCATATGTATTGGTGTTCCTAATTGTTGTGGGGGTGAGATTCCATTCATGGGCGGCTTTGACAGAATATGTTGATTGACCAAAGAGGCTTTTTCTCAGAGGGATGATGCAGTCGCCCCTTGCTGCTGCTCTGGTTCTCCTGAGTTCTGCTGTATTGATGTGAATGAACTGTGTGAGTGGGGGTGATGACAAACCATGAATTATTTTATAGGTGAGGCAGAGATGTGAGTATTTGACCATGTTTTCCCAACTGAGTAAATGATGCTTTTGTAATATTGGACAGTGATGATGTGAGAGTGGTTTGCGGTCCAGAGTTTTTATGGTGCGTTTGTAGAGGGACAGGATGGGTTTGAGAGTTGTGACATTGGCATGTGACCAGACAGTTAAACAGTATGTTAGATGTGAAATGATCATTGCGTGCATGTACATTTTTGCTGCTTGTATTGACATTTGGGGCCGGATGTGTCTGAAGTTACTGAGGGTGAACTTAATGCGATTACTGACCATTTTAACATGAGGTTTGAATGAGAGAGTTGAGTCCAGGATTATGCCAAGATATTTGTACTGGGATACGGTCTGCAGCCTTATACCTGAAACATGAACATCAGGCACATCTGTAATAGGTTTTTTGGAGAAAAGCATTGATACAGTTTTTGAAGTGTTTAACTGTAGGCAGCAGTGCTCCAGCCATGCTGTGATGTGAACCATGGCCTGGGTGAGCTTTTCAGCCACTTGGGAAACACTGCTGCCATGAACATACAGCACAGTATCATCTGCATACATCTGCACAGAGACATTCGGGCAGGCGCACGGGAGGTCATTAATATACAGGGAGAATAATAGAGGCCCCAGGATTGACCCTTGAGGCACACCAGTTGATACAGGGAGTGCAGGGGATTGGCAGTTTTGCACTGTGACATGCTGAGAACGATTATTCAAATATGACCGAATCCATTTTACAGTGTTATTGGAGAAGTTAAAGTTGTGTAGTTTAGTCAGAAGAATGTTGTGATTTACTGTGTCAAATGCCTTTCGTAGGTCAAGAAAGACTGCACCAACAACCCCTCCCTTGTCTAACAACCCTCGGATGTTCTCAACAAAGAAGCAGGTGGCAGTTTCTGTCGAGTAACCAGCTCTAAATCCAAATTGCATTGGGTGTAAGGCAAAGGAGGTGGTGTTGAGGTGTTTGATTATTTGATTTGAGACCAACTTTTCAGCAACTTTGGATATTATGGGAAGTATACTTATAGGTCTGTAATTAGCCAGGGACTGAGGGTCACCACTTTTGAATATTGGGACAACAACAGCAGATTTCCACAAGCTTGGAAACATTCCCTGCGACAAAGAAAGATTGATTATCTTGGTAATGGGTTGTGTGAGTGATGTGCGTAGATCTTTAAGCATCACAGTGTCCATACCAAAAGTATCTCTCGTTCTAGATAGCCGCGGAGAATTAATACACTGGACAACATCACTGTCCGATACACTCGTTAAACTTAGAACAGGTGCATATTCAACCACAGAGTTCCTGATGGTATTTGAAGTTTCTGGAGCAGAACTCGAAGTTTCTGGAGCAAAACAACTTGCAATAGTAGCCACAGAATCTATAAAATAATGGTTAAATGCCTGGGCTACGTCTCCAGGATCATTTAATAGATTTTCCCCCATCTTGATTTGTAAAGCTTTATGCACTCTGGGATGGTCACCAGTAAGCTTTTTAATCTGATCCCATATCATTTTGCAATTACCATTTGCTCTCGCTATTATTGACAGAAAGAAGTCAGCCTTAGCTTTCCTTAAGGATCTAACCACTTTGTTTCTTAGCATAGTAAAACAACCCCTATCATGTGCAGATTTGGTTTTATTAGCTATTTTTAGGATTTGATCTCTTTTCTTCATAAGTTTTAAAATGTCAGAGTTTATCCATGGAACTTTATTTTTGCGTTGTTTATAGCAGATTTTCTGAGAGAACTCCCTTATGGTTTTGTCTAATGTTTTGACAACGGAAGTATTTTACAACCGTTGTCACAGTCCACTGCATTTAATAGGTCATCCCACTGTATTTCTTGCACTGCAGCTACAAAGTTTTGGTAATTGTTTTTAGGAATTCGAGTGGACCCGTCTTGAATATTCGTACAAAAGCGCTTTCTTCCTAATTTTCGATTCAGTAGAACTAAGTTGTGGTCAGATAAACCTGTAAGCATATTAAACGACTTTACAATTCTATCTGGCTTATTGCAGAAAATCAGATCTATTTGTGTCCTTGTGGAGTTAGTTATTCTCGTAGGCCCATTGATGATTTGCTTCAGATCAAATTTGTCTGTGATTTGCTTGAGTTTCCTTCTGGTTGGTTTATCTTCCCAATTGATGTTGAAGTCCCCCATAATAATGATTTCTTTTTCCAAATTACATTCTTTCAACAAGCACTCAAATTGGTCATAAAAACTTACGTTGGTTGATGGTGGTCTATAGATTGCAATAATTCCAAAGGACATTTGTGGGGATAGAGAGATATTCAGTCCTAAGCATTCCAACTGAGTACCATTTGCCCATTGTATTTCTTGGCATTTAAATATGCTTTTCACATAGACCATGACCCCCCCTCCCTTTTTGTGTCCTTCTCTGTCTTTCCTATAAAAGTTGTACCCAGGGATATTCAGTGCTGCAGTAGGAGAATTTTGATTCAGCCAGGTTTCCGACAGACATAAAAAGTCCAAATTCGAATCCAATAATAAATGTTGTATTTGCTCACTCTTTGACAAAATACTTCTTATGTTTATATGACCACCTAAAATGCCAGTTGGCTTCGCCTTCGGGTCCCAGATGATGCGCGAATGATTGACAGTCTGAAATACCTCCCACTTCCGGTTTTTTGCGACACCTGGATTGAGTCGTTTCCTGTTTATATTTTTCGCTACCACGGGGCTCGGATGAGGACGTGCACCAGGTTCAGGGATGGGAACAGAACGCCTAGGCCCGTCCAGATCAGCACGAAGGCTCTGCCCCACGTCCGCTGAAGATCCGCGCCGAGGCCCTCCCAAATCACCATCCGTGGCGGTCGGCCGGTGGCTCGGCAGCTCCCCGGAGCCATGTCGCCCTCCACAAACGCAGACGGCAACCTCGCCGCTCCAGAACATCTGACACAACACCAACACGACTCCCCCGCACCCCATCCGCGACGGCACAGGCCAAGGTGCCATTTAATTAAATTGCATTTATTTTTATCCATTGATCAAACAAACAGATTACAAAACTTGCAATTGAAAGAGACTATTTTAAAATAATTAGTTCCCAAAGACACACACGAGCAACACTCGCGCCTGACAGTCAAGAACCAGGGAGAATACAGTGCGCAGATTGTGCCTGACAGACAAGAACCAGGGAAAATACAGTGCGCAGAGCGCTGAGTATGTGAACGGAGCAATCGCTTGCTGCTGTTATTATAATAGCTAGATCCATGCTTGCAGCCCGTGCAAAGCTCGCACTCACTCACAGCCGCTAACAACAACCAGAGCGGCCACGGAGCAGGCCATCTCACACGCAGCATTCTGAGTGATATTCTTATGGATAAATGGGCGGGTATTTAAAAAAAATAATGCGTTAATAAAAAATGTAATTAACGTGAGTCAAAACGATAATTTTGACAGGTGCATTGCGTAAGTTAAAAAATGCCATAATGCAATATTTTGCATCTGTGGTCCATCAGCAGTTGCCTGGTGTGTAAACTGAGCATTAGCAGATTCACTGTGGTTGCTTCTGTGAGCGCATACAGTGATTGAGAAATCCCTGACTCTGGTCGCTTTCTCGCGCGCTGTTTAAGCGGAAGTGACGCAATGCGCGTGCCCGTTCACTGTTTTGGCTCCATATGTTCCCTCGCGTTCAGTGGATCTGTCCCGTCCTCGTATCACGCGTATTTGAAGATGGATCCAGCAGTTTCTCTAAGAGACCAGCTTCAGAATCACCGTCTGGAACTCCACGCCAAGCGAAGAGAAAAAAGATTGTCACTAGTGCTACGAAAAGAGCGAAGCGAGAGGCCGACCGGCGGAGAGCTCAGACCCGAGTCGCTCTCGGCCATGCGTTTGAGAAATGGAGAAGTCTCCGAAACGCTCTGGGGATAAAAAATGATCCTCATTTGGCGTTTATCTTGATTAGAAGGTAAGACGGTGACTCAGTTCTAAACGTCCTAGTGTCTTGCACGAATACGAAGAGATATAGCATTATTGTGTGTTAGCTTTTTGACTTAGCAACATGGACTGATTCCATTTGGTTCGGTTTTTTTCTGAACAGTAACAGATTGGCGAGACACATTCAGCATTTTTTTTGTTCTGTATGAAGAATGTCTAGAAATAATGACTGTTACGTTGATTAGTGCTTTTGAATGAACGTTAGCATGTGTTAGCTTAGTACAGCTGTGTACATTATTGGGCTGCTACTGTGCATGTAAACTATTATGAAACTTGCAGATGCAGTGATTATGTAACTGTACTATATGTACCTCAGTACCTGTACTATATGTATCGTAGAATTGCAGACTATATTAGTAATATAATGTGGTTAGTCCAACTGTAATACAATGAGATGCATGTGTGTATAGGTAACGTGTATTTATTTACTTTATAGCTATGAAAAAATGATGGCATCAAGGAGTCCCAAGGCCTCAACTCCTAAAACCACTACTGCGACTGGTGATCTCCCGAGTTCAATCAGTCCCGTAGAATCTGACCGGTACTTTTTTTTCCAGAAAAATGGGATTGGCATTATGTTTGATTCAAGCCTTATTGACAATTTCACTGAAACAAACTGTATTTTTTAACAGGGATGACTTATCTGTGGCAGGGGTGCAGCCTTTTATAGAGGAGAAAGAGCTGGAGGTTTTGGAGAAAAGGTAGACATGCATTCACATTAAGATGTACATTGTATTCTCATTTCTAGGTCGTTTATTTATATGATTTATTGTTTTTTGTAGACATTCAGATCTTTGGTTAAACGAAAAACGGGCAAACAATCTAGAAGACAGTGTGTAAGTTACTTAACATGTTTAAAAAGAAATATTTTGTTGATTGTTTTAAAATATGACCTGTTTACTTTCACAGGATTGAGTTTGATGAAGATTTGGCCTCAGATCCATTAGATTCGGAATATGTCCCACCTATATCTTTGAGGTTTTTTTTATTAAATGTTCTGTCCTGAAAATAATGGAAGTCCTTCCCTAATTGTTTTTTGAAAAAGCATCAAATTGTTCTTTTTTTCAGTGCTGGTGTTGCAATTCAAAGAGAAGTTGACAATCTTCCCATCCTCGGCATAGAAGAAGCTGTGTTGGACATCTGTGACCCAGAAAATCCCGGAGAACCAGAGGACTTTGAGGATCAGTCTGAGCAGGACATATCAACATTCCCAAAGCCAATTCGTGTGGTTGCTGAAACTGACCTAGTGCACCAACACGCATGCATAGCGTATACTATTAGCTTGCTGCAAATGGCTAATTTTCTGCAACTGCCCATCAACAAATGCCATTACAGCGATCCGGTTTCTGGTATTGAGTGTGACGGTCGGCCTCCATTTTCGGTTCAATCACGTTCTAGGGGCACATCAATCATATTGGAATGGGTGAGTGAATGCTGAAATTAGAGATTGTTATTTGGGGTAGGCAAAATGTGTAGTTATACATTTAGTAAAAGTTATTTGTTTCTTTCTCCATAGTTCTGCTCTTATGGACACAAGTTATGGATGTGGAACAGTCAACCTGTACTTCGACATGGGATGCAAGGAGGCGATTTTATGTTATCTGCCAACTTATTACTGAGTGGTAATAATTTTGCTAAGATTGCCCTCCTCTTCAAATTTATGAATATGAAGATGGTTTCAACGACAACTTATTACAAAATTCAACACTCCTACTGCGTACCTGAAATAAAGGCATTTTGGGAGCAGAAGAGGTTGTCTATTGTAACTCGATTAAAGTCAAAAGATGGCATTGTGGCCCTTGGTAAGTAATGTGTTAAAGGACAATCTTTGTCGTATTTGCAGTCACTATAAGTACTATATCTGTTACAGCTGACGGGAGAATGGACTCACCAGGTAAGTCTGAAGCCTTTCACTTTACAACATAGTTATTGTGTATTACTTTGTGTTTCACCATATTTGATTCAACAAGGTCATTCTGCAACGTTTTGCACATACACAACGATGGAACTTGACACAATGGACATTATCAGTGTTGTCAATGTTGATAAAAGGCAAGTTGGTGGAAAAAGTGTCTCTATGGAGAAAGCAGCATTCATCAAAACATTTGATGATCTCACGAAAGAATTAAAAGTCAAAGAGATTGTGACTGACGCCCATGTGCAAATTGCAGCCCTCATGCGTAAGTATTTTTGTCTGTATTATTTGATGTGCTATATTTTGTGCTTACTGCATTTTTGAGCTTTATAATAGATCCAGAACGGGGAAGATATATGGATCAAGGAGTTACCCATTCCCTGGATGTCTGGCATGCTGAAAAAAATCTAACTAAGAGGCTTCATGCTGTAAGTGATAGTTCATATCGTTTCTCATTCAATTATTTTTTATAGACATAACCAAAACTAATAACTTTGATATGCGGGTGTCCTAGCAGGTCAAAAACAAATCCTTGGGTGGATCAAGGACATTGTTAACCATTTTTGGTATGCCTGTCAGCATGCAAGCAGCCGAGACCAGTTCATGGTAAGTAAAGTAGAACTAGAATTTATCTTCTCATTTTCACTATACCTTTTCAGTTTCTTATGTTTGCTTATTAGGACATTTGGCGAGGTGGGACCTGGGTAGATGCCTTCATGGTCCTTTGGGGGATGATGGCACTAAAGAGCCTGTACCAACTGGCTCTAAAGCACATGTGGCACTGTCACAGATCGTGCTGAACCGCAGATGGCTGAAGGATGTGGAGAAGTTCCTCACATTTCGGTAAGAGATCAGTTTTTGTTTTTTTGAATGATTTGTGTTTCTTCTATTTCCTACTTACTTTCCCTGCAGGACCACCTCACAGCTGGAATCATTCCAAAACCATATTCTGATGTATGCCGGAAAGCGGTTTGCTTTTTCATTTTTTGTTTATGAAGCAAGAACACTTCTCGCAGCTTTGGACTACAATCACCACAACAGCCGTCCGGCACATGTGAACAGCAAAGGCCAAGTGTCGTAAGTATCATTCACTACTTCCTATTGACAAGTCATAAATATAGTTGTCTTCTAACATGAAATTACTTATCTTGTAGCCTAAAGAGACTGTACAGCAAAAAATCGAAACGGTATCGGGTACACACTGTCAAAGAAGCAAAGGATTACAACTACATTCCTGACCTTCAGACACAAATCATTGGCAGACGACTTCAGTCTGCTGGTGGCCTCCCAACCAGACGGAGTATCATACCGGAGGACCCACGAGCACTTTGACCAGTATATACACAAACGGTTGTTGGTGTTATCATCACTCTCTTTACACAACCAAAACATGGGACTTCACAAACTGAATGCGCATTTCGCGCATGCGCAAAACGCAACGAAATACTTTGCCTCAAGTCGACGGTGCGGTCTGGAACGTGAAGAGAGGACTCTTTTGAATGTACGGTAAGTGTTAAGACACGTTGTTCATTGTTATAAAGGTATAAAGCTAAAGAAGTGTGTTAAGAACGAGTTATACATTCGACTATATTATCTTATAAAACTCGTGTGTTCGACCAGCTCAGCGGTGAATGCAGTGACTGTGGCCGTGTTCAGAGCCGCTCTCCCGGAGGCCTGAGAGAGCTCTGTCCGGCCTCCGGGAGTTTACTGAGGACAGCGGTGAATGGAGCTGTTAGTAGCTAACTGTAGCCATGTTCAGAGCCATATTCCCGGCCCTAACTACGCGGGCCGCCGCCGCTAGGAATCACATATATATATCACATATGTGATTGCTCCGTGTGTGATAACTTTCTGTAAAGCATGGAGCTGCTGCAGGAGCATGGACGAGGCGCACAGAGCAGACTGCTTCGAAAGAACCGAAGGAAAAGCAGTTTGGGCTCATGGCAGAGCCTGATATACGCGGAGACTGTGGAATATCTAACATATATCATTTGTTTTGCACTGTTCCTGTCTTTATTTGAGCGCTAAGACTTTCACTTTTATTACTGTACTTTTTCATCTCATTTGTCACTGTTGTCTTTCTGTTCATTTTTTTTTTTTTTTTTTATTAAGTCCATTGCTTAATAATGTTATTGAGTGAATCTAGACCTCCTTTAAACACATTTGAGCAAAAATCATGTGATATTGTTTTATATATATTGATTATTCTTTTTTTGCTTACAGCGTGTTGCAGTCCGACAACAAGAAATAGTCAAATTCTGCCCCACCTGTGGAAAATGTCAAAGCGCGCTGGCCAGCACTTCATACAGAGAGACAGGTGTGTACATATTTTTTACATCTATGCATTTTACTTGAAGTGTTTTATGTTGTTTTTTTTTGCAGGTCCTGGCAGAATTTAACCAGATCACCAGCTCCAAACTGGGCAATGATTTCGTTGAAGCATTGGATTGCCTAACGACACAGTTCATCAAGCTCTTAAGGCCAAAAGGGGGTCTGCTGGCGCTAAGCTTTCCAAGATTGTCCGGCACCTCGATTCCTGTGTAAGTTCATAAAGCAATAACAAAAAGAAATGACATATGATTGTGTTTGGTGTTGAAATGCACATATGTACAGCAGAGGAGATGGAGAAAGGAGAAAGGTACACATCAAAAGAGGTACTGCTGCATTTTGTATCCTAAGATTTTTGGTACAATTGTAGATTGTCATTTTACATTTTCCACGTGTTTGTAGATGGTGGAACTGCAGGAAAACCCTGGTGACCGAGAGATCCTTAAAGATTATAATTCTGTGAGATCACTGTGAGATCTCCGCTCTCGAAGACAACTTGTCGACCTTCTCGTCAGTGACATGAGTGAAACACATGGGTATGTTGTATCCCTCAGTTAATACTCAAAAGTTCCTTCTTACAAGTGGAAGGATATTTACTCAAAATAAAATGAAAATCACTTGAAAGACCTTTCACAATAATCACATAACAATTCAGTTTCTCTCACCACTGTTATTGATTCCCCATTGTAAGATAAATAGTACTGATCTCTTTTATAAATGACCTAGGTAGATGTTCTCCTGTAGATTATCTCTTGGTTAGGTCCCTGTGAAAATATGTACTTGTAGATACTATTAATTTAGCCTTTTTATGTAACCATGAAGTCCTTTGACCATGACTGTTTTTTTCTCCTTAGACAAATGCCTTCCCGAAAACAAAAAAAGCTATGCTCTTAGAATTATCACACTTTTTTCATTGAAGGATCCATTTTCTCAAAAAGGTTATGTAAGTATTGTTCATGTATCCATGGAAATTGATTTTGGTTTACCTACACGTTTTGTGTCGGTAATGGATATGTATAGATACCAATCATAACTGTACACTTTGTTTTCAGACTAATCTCGCCTCGTAATGAGACGGTGACCTCCTATTTGCTTAACACAATATCTGCAATACAATGTGAACAATAAGTCCACATTTCCACCATGTTGATAAAGACGACATTGTGTGTAAGTGTTTTACTGTTTCTCCCTTTAACCTGGTTTTAAACATTGTCAGAGAGGAGCTGTCACTTTAGCTGTGCTACAACTGAGGTATTTTATATTTATCTTTGTTAATGTACTGGGATTATTTATTTTAATGCTTTCTTATTTTGCTCAGCACTTCGAGTTGCATTGTGTATGAATTGTGCTAGACAAATAAACTTGCCTTACCATCGTACTTCCTGGTTCTAGTCAGGACTTGAGCTGCTGCATTTTGAATGTACTGCAGCTGTTTTACAGCCTGTTTGGACAGACCTGTGAGCAGGCCATTGCAGTAGTCTAACCTACTGGAGACAAATGCATGGATAAGAATCTCCAGGTCTGCTTTAGACACTATGTTTAGATGGGAAAAAGGATTTGATTTGGCTAATAATATTTACTGATTCTTTCAGCCGCTGGAATCGAGACTGAGTGTGCTAGAAAGTGACAAAGTGGAACTCTGGAAGTCCGCCACGGTAGACCTAATGTCCAATGAAGAAGAAGGCGTTGTGGACGGTGTCTCTGGATGGATTGTGCGGTCGCAGTCTTTTCGAAAGCCGGAGTTTTCTGAACTCTGTCAAGCTGCAGTCCCGGTTAGAGGCGGCGCGGAAGTACAGAGCCACGCACATTAAGCGTCTATCTAGAACCCTGCCAAATTACAACCCCGAGGAGGCTATTGGACAGTTCAGAGTTGTAATTTTTTAATTACCTATGTGTGAGCATAAAGCTGTGTGTGTGTGTGTGTGTGTTTTAATAAAGCTTTCTTTGTATGAACATATTCCTGGAAAATTTTCATTTCTTCTATAAATAATACGAATATTTATATAAATATTATTACATTAATTATGAGGCAGGGTGACCAATAGTGACAGATCTGCTAGCCAATCACGAGAGATTATACTTATTTGAAAGTAGTGATTTCATCCAATGGGGAGTAAGCTACCAATGGGGAGTAATCCCACGTGGGCTGGCCACGTGTGATTTTTCAGCCAATCACGAGTTTGAAAGTAGTGGTATTCACCAATGCTGAATAGCAGCCTGGCCAGCCGCTGCATTCATATGCTAATTAGGGCCATTAGCGCTCGGCGGCCGCAGTGTTTCGCTGCATTCATATGCAAAGTAGGGACATTAGCATGGTACGGATACGGCAGTTTGGAGGACAGGGCACCCTAACTGCGCCTTCTGAAAACTGCCTGAGATACCCGAAAAAGAGCGTGATTTCCTGCAGTTTAGGGTGACGAAAATCTAACTTTTCATGCAGTGCCTCTGGCAGAAGATATCGTTCTCTGAGATGCAGGACATCTCGTTATGCTAACAGCTTCTTCCCACAGGCTGTTATCAGTTTGAACAGAGCACTTCAATGTTCTTGCTCTTTGTATTGATACTGTTTTAGCCGATCGATTTCACAGTGACATTTGTCTGTTTTATTTGGGTTTTTCTGTATTTTTTATGTTTTATGTCTGAATTTGTCACTGGAGACTTTTGCTAATATATTCCAATGTGGTGTTTTTTACTGGACTCTTGAACACTTCTTAACCTGTCCCCCCGCCCTTTATAAAGTCACTTTACTGCCCATCATACGTCACTTTACTTCACTGTACTGCTGTCACCTTACATTGTGTGCACCATGTGCACTTGTATATTGTAAATAGTAACTGTAACTCTATTTTAAATTTAAATTTATTCTTTAGAAGTGTTTTTTATTCTTATTCTTATTATCTCTTTTTGACTGTTGCACTGAGCCAAAGCAATTTCCAAGTCTGTGACCTCCCGTTACTTACGTTGGCAATAAAAATGATTCTGATTCTGATTCTGATTCTGATTCTGAAATGGCAAATAAAATGAATCTGAATCTAAATCCCAGGTCCAGTCTAAAGTGGCCCTCTCTCTAAAAGTTTGGACACCCCTGAGCTACACAGATGTTAACAGACCCTGGATCATCAAAGCCTCCGATCACCACACATTCACACTCTTTACATTCAGACCTATTGTATAAGTTTTAGTTTGGTTATGTTTGTTTTAGTGGTAGGAGAAACCGGAGCACCCAGAGGAAACCTACACAGGCACGAGGAGAACGTGCAAACCCCACACAAAAAAGCCTCCGTTACGACCAGGATTCAAACCCATGTAAAAGTAGAGAAATCTCTCTTATTCTGAAGCTGTCCACACTGTATTATGACAGTTTGTGGTAATTTTAACCTCATGCTTATTTTTAGGGTCCTGAATTAAAACCCTCAGGATACATAACCGCTGTTCCAAGTCTTCAATTGACTTTTACATAATTGACTTGATTACAGTTTTTCTCAGTTGCTTTGGTGCATTTCTCACATCAGACTTAAACTTCTCAAAACTATTAGTTCAACCTCCACAACATTGGGTCATTGGTGCACATCATCACGGCAGTTTCTCATTCCTCTGAACACATTTCAAATGCTTTCGTTCATGTATCAATAACTTTCAAACAATTCTCAGCGTTTTTTTAACATTATCATTTGCTTCTGTCCTGTCAGTCAAAATGAAACATACTTATGACTTCTGAATAGTCATTCACTATAAAACTAACTGTTCTCATTTCATCGCTTTGGTCATCACATACAAAATAGTTGAACTAGTTCTCAAAATCATAACTGTCAAGCTAATTTCATACATTCCTTTATCTTTTTTTTCCTGTAAATATTTCCTAAATTGAACAATTTATCTCAGGTGAATTTCAGCTTCACTCTGAGGTGTGCTTTATTGTTTATTTTTGTCACAGTTCTACCATAATGATATTTCTGTATGTTTGTTCTATGTATATACATGTATGTGTCTGCACTTCTACAGCATTGTGCAACACAAATACAAAGAGCATATGCAGTACACATACATACATACATATACATACAGTACATACATACATAGATACACACATACATACATACATATACATACAGTACATACATACAGTACATACATACATACATACACATACAGTACATACATACATACATACATATACATACAGTACATACATACAGTACATACATATACATACAGTACATACATACATACATAGATACACACATACATACATACAGTACATACATACATACATAGATACACACATACATAGATACACACATACATACAGTACATACATACATAGATACACACATACATACATACAGTACATACATACATACATAGATACACACATACATACATACAGTACATACACACATACATACTGTACATACAGTACATACATACATAGATACACACACATACATACTGTACATACAGTACATACATACATAGATACACACACACACACATACATACTGTACATACAGTACATACATACATAGATACACACACACACACATACATACTGTACATACAGTACATACATACATAGATACACACACACACACACACATACAGTACATACATACAGTAGATACACACATACAGTACATACATACATACACACACACACATACATATATGTCAGTTACGTCTTTGTGTAACTTTACTGTAGTTTTTACTGTAAATGGTTGTACAAGTCGTGTATAGTATGTCGTGCTCAAGTGTCACCGAGATCTGACTTTTTTACTCTAAAAACACAGAGAGTAAACTTTCACAATGAAAACATGACTAAGTCATTTGACTGTGATGTTCATACTCAATGTTGTTAGGACATATTATTTTGACGACATAGACAGTTTCATTAACGTTTGGACTTGCTTTTGAGGAAAAAACGTTTCATTTTGAGAAAGTGACGCACTTTTGCAGGTTATCCACGAGGTTCTGCAGTTTGCACTAATTGTTCTGAGAAATGCACCAACAGTTGTGCAAATGTGAAGAATGATGTGAGAAATGCACCAAAGCGACTGAGAAAAACTGTAAACCTGAGCCAGAGACGACCTCAGATCTGAAAAGCCTCTCCATGAAGTTCCTCAAACCGAAAGTGACACAGAGAGAGAACGCAGCCTATATAATCTATAATCTGGTTGTTCTGATTGACGGCTGTGCGACTATTTTGTTGTAAGAGCAAGAAAAACGCCTGAGATTCTTTTCAACACTTTGACACAAAGAAAAACAGCGACAAGAGTCAATCACGTCAAGATCATCTGGCAGTTTGAATGATCATAAGTACTGACTGCTAATATTCGCATACATAGTTAAAGCAAAACATACAGAGTGTAGCTAATACAAAGAGAGAGACAGAGAGAGAGAGAGACAGACACAGAGAGAGACAGAGAGACAGAGA